TAATGTGGAAGACGATGCCTGGCCGCGTTAAACAAGTTCCACATGATTCAACAGAATGAGATAGAACGGATACGGGGCATAGTACTGAAAGACATCTACACGTGTGATATTGATATTGACTCTATTTCTGAACCCTCTAGTAATAAGTTATAAGAAATATATATACTGGAAGTTATTTATGCGTTTTATTTAGAGTCTGACTCACATCCTCTATACATTATTTGCAGTTTTTATTGTTATCATTATGTAACAATATTTACTGCATTAAGAAATACAATTTTCGTTTAAAATTCAAAATTTTCCAATCTCTATTCTTTGCAAAATGATGCTATAACCTTTGATATTTCTATCTTTAGACTATTTTATCTTGCATAATTAAACATTTTAAATATTAAAGTCTGCAAAACCGGGTTGCAAATAGGGTTTCCATTATCCGGAAAAAAAATTTGCATTTTTGAAATGCCATGAGCCGGAAATTTGTTCCACAAAGTGGAAAATTCCGGAAGACATAAAAACCAACCATTTTTTGGTTTACATCAACATGATGTAATCCGGAAACTATAGAATAAAAATTTATCCATTTTTCATTCCGAGAACCGGAAAATTTCCGGTTCACATGACGTAAACCGGAAAGATTTCGTTTTTTATCCTGAAAATGGTTTTAACTTTTACATTGTTCCAGAAAATTCTAGAACGTCTCCTGAACTTTCCAGAAGGGAAATTTTTGGAACAATATTCGGAACGTTCCATAGTTCTGGAACAGGGTTCTGTAAAGTTCCAGTTTACTGGGTAAAATCGTTCCAAAATTGATCCGGAATTTCAGAACCATTTCCATAATGGAAATGGAAAAATATTCTGATATAAAAGTTAGAAAATCAGAGTTTGTGGCAAAAACATAATTCCTTTTGAAATGAATATTAATCTCTTCTCATCTCGTTTTCAATTCAAAGCTGTCCGAATGCAATATTGCAATTGAACCTCTACTAAGATAAACATCTTTCAAGTTTTTTTTTTCACGCACCTGAAAATCAATCGAAATGTGCTACACACCATTTTTAGTTAATGTCTTAAAACCAAACTTTTTGTTCAGGGTCCCATGCAGTTCTTCCAGGTCTTATTTTTCTTCTGTGAGGAGTCGTTTCCTGTAACTTTGTCCTAATATTTAGGGACTAAAATCACATAAAAAAACTTAACAACCAACTGTTAGAGTTCTACAAACAGTGTTTTCAAAATGGATAGCAGCTCAATCTTTTAATGTTGTTTTAGTTCGTTCTTTTTAATCTAGTTAGTGATTTTTCTATAAAGGCTATTATTTATTTGGTTTCTATTTTTAAATTGTATAACAAAGATAAATTGTATATGTTTTTCTGAACTGTTCCACAATATTTATTCTTATAGACAGTAAAATACATATCTTAACATATGTTGTATTTTGTTTATAGTATTTCAGATTATACTCAATAACTGTTTTTGATCTATAGACGGATATCAGGGTTATAATTCAGCTGTTGATGTTTCTTCTGCTTACTATTCATGATTATGAGGATCATCTCCCCCGATAAACTCATGATTATGAGGATCATCTCCCCCGATAAACTCATGATTATGTGGATCATCACCCTCCTCCAATCCCTCTCTTTGAATCATTCCTCGTGCTGCTTCAGGTGCTGCTGGTGGTGCAGCTGCAGCAGCAGCCGGAGTAGTTGCAGCTGCATCAGCTGCTGGAGCAGCAGCCGCATCCGCAGCAGGAGTAGTTTCAGCTTCATCTGCAGGTGGAGCAGCTGCAGGATCTGCTGCTGCAGCATCTGCACCAGCTGCTGGATCTGTAGAATTAGCTCCTGCTGCTGGATCTGTAGAATTGGCTCCTGCTGCTGGATCAACTGCAGGTGCAGTAGTGTTGGCACCATCAGCTGCTGGATCAGCTGTTCCAGCATCGGCACGATTAGCTGCTCCCTCGGCTGCTGGTGCAGTAGCATTAGCAGCATCTGCAGCATCTGCAGCATCTACAGGTGTCTCTACTGGTACAGCTTCACCTTCAGCAGCTGGTATACCCTCAGCTATTGTTGTATTAGAACTATCTTCTCCTTGAACAGCTGATGCATCTTCAGCTACCCCTTCTTCATCTTTAGCTGATAATCCTTCCAAGTATATTTTAGATCCATCTTTACCACTTGTAAAATCATCCCAATATTTTACAATCTAAGAATAAGAAAATATAATAATTTTATAGAATTTAATTATTGTTTAATGCACATCTATTTACATCTAAAAGGTTTTCTTATGTTTTGAAATGCCCACAATAACCCAACTTTTATTATTTAAAAACAAGCCAGTGATATCAATTTAATGTGCATTCAAGAAAAGAAAGGCAAAACATCTGGAACTGAATTCAATGATTTTAAGCTAACTGCAAACTACCTACTGTCGGTTTATAGATTCGTGAAACCTTGAACCGGTGATTCAGGATGTTTATTGAATCCTGGTTCATGTTGACATATTCTAGCAGCTTAAAAGCTTATTTAATTGTGCTCCATATTCCATAATTTAGGATGTTCTTGTAAATAATTAAAAATTCGATTTTTAAATTCTCACCCTTGCAAACCATTTATTCATTGTGTTCATCTCAGTAATCAGATTATCCAGCAAACTAAGATATTTATTAGGTATTTACTTTTACAATTCAGAGGAACAGTTAATGTCTGAAAGATATTCATCTAGTTTTTGACAGCCTCAACTTTCTAGGCCTTTTATTTTTTCTCACCAACTCACTTATATTTTTGTTAAAGCCAAGTTACCTTTGTATGCATACCTTGTTAAATTTAAAACACGCTTCCAACTAAAGCTTGAAAGAAGTAATTGGCAAAATACGGCTTGATCAGAGACAAGAGAGTTACAGAGATCGATTATCAGCTAAAATATGCGATATTTTCCACACCATGTTTTATTGTGTACAAGTACTGTACACGACCAATCAGGAGACATCTGTATTCAGGGATATTTAAGGATCCTTTGGATACGAAACACAAAATATTCAAAAATAGACTGAATTCATAAATGTTATGTTTCATGTTTAAAATTTCTTTAAAAGTTGTAAAACTGAAATGGCACTCTAAAAACCTATCGTATGTCCTGTTGGGTCAACTTAGGCCTACGTAGCCCACCCTGTGAAAGGAGATAAGCAGTCTGTGTAGTCTGTGGGCTTGATTTTTAAGAGAGTGTGGTCACACTACACTTACCCACTGCTGAGATTTGAAATGTGTGAATATTGATAATCTTGAACGCTCAATCTTAAAATCTAATTGGACATTTTGAAATCTCAGTTATCCCTGCAGAGGTATGTTTATCAAGAGTTATCAAAGAGGAATTAAATTAAATAATACAGAGCGTCCCATATCATATTAGATTATCTCCAATCTTTAACACCTAAAAACGCACATTATACTCGAAAAATCTAGCATTTTCTGCAAAAAATAAATTCTATTAGCCTTATTAAATTTTTCAAAATGATTCATTCTTTTTAAATTTTCTGATTTGTCCCCCAAATCGCGTAATTTAGACCCATTGACGCGGTCTAATTTGATGTGGGACACCCTGTAGATCTGCATAATATGCTTAATCTCGAGATTCACAATGCATGCATTCTGTCTTGAGATCAAATTAATATGTTGCTGGCATAGACTAACAATAATGCAGATAGAACATAGTTTTTTGGGTTCACAATTACCCTGAGACAGAAGCCTAAAGTAGGTATGCGCATGCAGAGTTGAATCAAGATAGAGTGAGAGCATATTGTAAACGAAAAATCGATTAATCTTGAAAAGACAACATCTAGTGTTCTATCTGCATTGTTATTGGTCTATGGTTGCAGGATTAATCAAATCGCACTGCATGTTATTTACCCTGCATCAATGGAGTTGAACCACATATTGTCCTCTCCAGCATTCCCAGCAAGAACAGCCTCAGCATGTAAAATATTCAACTCAGCTTCACTCAGTCCATTCTCTCCCTTCAAAGATATGGTTGGTATAGAGAAGAAGTTTTTTATTCAACATTGACTTTTTAGTAAATTGTGACAATCTTTTTGAAGTACTTTAACAGCTGTGCAGCTAGCAGTATACATACAATCTAGAGACACTACACCAAATGAATCATTCCCTATCGTGTGATTAATAGCTTTGCCCACCAAATATGTATTTTGATTACTTTATTATCTAATTAGCATTTCTTCAGAAGAAAGATTAAAACTGGAAAATGATGATTCTTTTGCATATCCAATGGCCCCATTCTTTGATAAACAAATTCATAATAACAATACTTTCATTTAAAAATGCACGATGGGCTTAAAGAAAGAAAATATTTCTATTTGCATAATTACTGAGACTTAATTCTTTAGCCATGCTCCCTCTCTGGAACCACTGGACTCACTGTGAAGAGTTTTTTATGAATATATGATAACACCAAAATATTTATCTCGATTAATTAAATATTAAGAAATATACAGAAACATACAGCTGTCAATATATGTATACATAAAGAGTGTCCCATTTACTATTAGATTATCTCCAAGCTTTAACCAAAAAGAATAGAATATATATATATATATATATATTCTATTCTGTTTGGCTTTAACGCTAAAATAAAACCTTAATACTCGAAAACACTAGTAATCTCCCCAAGAAAATTCTTATATTAGCCTTATTCAATTCTTATACTTTCTGATTAGTCCCGAAAATCGTAATTTAGACTGATTGACGATCTAATATGATGTGGGACACCCTGTATCTTTGAAAACCATGTGCTACGTATTTTAGTGTATTTTCCTTGAATCTATATCTGTGCAGTACATTTAATGATTGTCAATTAATAGAGAATTAACAATTTACTGAAAATAAACAAAATATCAAATTTCCATATAATATTGGAGAAATAAAACAGGCACATGATTATTCTTGATAATTATGCTGAAGAAAGAGGATATAAAAGTACCGCTGGATTAGGTAGAGTTGAAGGTATAAAGGCAGCTAGGAGGAGAAGGATGTGATTTCTCATGTTTATGATACTCCTGATGCTCCTATCAATCACTAGCTACTGGATCAAGTTCCACAAATTCAGGGACTAAATTTTTTTCTAATCTGACTCAAATTCAACACTTGCAAACATTTTTAGAGTCTAAATATAATTTCTGTTCCAAGTTTTCTATTTTTATATTGATAAAAGTTTGGATTGACTGACATGAATTAGAGGATGAGGGTTAGGGATCAAATTTCCTTTTAAAAATGTACAATGCACTCACTTTGCACTCACACCGCACAGCCTTTTAAAATGCCTCAGAAATCTCAACAATCAAATATATTTCAGTAAAAAAAATGTTTTCGTACATTTCCATTATTCTGGTATTCACATCGCTTGTTGTTCATACTGGATCTGGTATGACAGGGGCAGATACTTCCGGAGTTTCAGAAGTTGCTTTTGATCCAGAAGACAGAGACACACCTCTCTATAAAAATAAAAATAGATGTTGGTTTTTAAAAATTTTATCTTTGAAATTAGGCTAGAAATAGATGGCAGTCAAAAACCTTTTGTGGAAAAGTATCATTTAAACCAATCAGAAGCCAGTCTAAGATTTGGTCTTAGACAAAATCTTGAGTTTAAAGATATTGAGGGTTCTCTGCAAATACACCCAGAACAGCTTTGAAGGGGCAAGATTTTCAAATGTAAATTTCGAAAAGTCAAATTTTACTTAAATATTTCATTTTTGTAGTGTGTTTATTTTATAGACATGAAAAGTAGAACAATTATCTTTTACCGCCGTTTCATCAACATTACCTACTGTAGAATACAACAACAGAGGGATGTGAAGTTACATAACATCCCTTGGGACAGTTCTGTAAAATAACCACCCGCTCTGGAAAGTTTTCAGGAAAAAATTCGCGCATTCTCATTTTAGAAGACGATAAAAATTGTATACAACTACTTTTTCGGGAAATCAATTTTTTTATAGACTTTCAAATCTATGTATATACTTTGCTTGTATGTCTGTCTTTGTATGTTTGTATCCAATAAACATAAAAATGGCTGAACCGATCAGGACCAAATTTTGTGTGGGACATCACGTGACCCCAGGGAAAGTTTATGGATGATCAAAATTTCAAAAATTTGATGTCTATAAATTTTCAAAAACCACAAAATTTTGTTTAAAATTTGCGAAATTGTTTTTCATTATTTTACAATGGATACAAAGTGAAAATGTTCACAATTGAAACAGAAGATGGGCGCAAAGCGCCCTGTAAGCCTTGTATTATATACTTCATTCAAATTATGCAATCAACAATTATGAAAACATTTAACATATGTAAGAATTGATTAATTCCTTTCATTATTGTAAATACATTACAATAAAATTTAAATTTTAAATATTCTGTAGAATACAAAAGTAATTGAATAAAAAGCTTTTAGGGTGTTGTGTGTCCGCTGTGTATTTTACTATCATTTGTATCTATCTGTCATGCACAAAAACTGTGATTCTGTTACCACATTAATTTTTCTCTTTACAACAGTTTTCTGGATTTGTCACTTCAGGTGCCCAAGATGACTAGCTTAAGTGTTTTTAAGGGCTGTCCTAGAGAACGATTTTTGGACCCCCCCATATAAATCCTGGGGAATCGGATGAGATTGCCATAGTAGTAGAACTCCCGACTCTCACTCACCTCTTTCGCCTCCATACTGTCCCACTGGTTTATCACCTAAATAAAGGAAACACCATTAGTTTGCCCCTTTTTGGGTTTCTTTTAGAATATGGAACTTTTGAAGCATTAATAAAATTTAAAAAATGTATTTAACCCAAGATTAATCATTTTATTGTTGTTTTGGTATTTTCAGAGAGTGATTGATTTGGACCCCCCCCCC